TTTTTTGAGCACTTTGAATGTCATCCCACTACCTTCTGTCTATTATTGTTTTGATGTGAAGTCATCTGTAGCCTTTTTTGGGCTTCCCTTGTGATGACTTGTTTTTCTCTTACTGCTTTCAATATTTCTCCTTGTCTTACCTTGCAGCATTTTAACTGTGACATGTTTGATTGTGGACTTCTTTGTATTTATCCTACTTGAAATTTGTTGAGCTTCTTGGATGTATAGATTAGTTTTTCACCAGATTTGGGAAGTTATCAGCCATTATTTCCTTAAATACTTTTTATGTTCCCTTCTAAGAGTGCTGATGGCGCTGTGGTTAAAAGCATTCAGCTGCTAACCAGAAAGTCGGTGGTTGGAACCCACCAGCTGCTCCACAGGAGAAAGATGAGTCAGTCTGCTTCCATAAAGATTTATAGCCTTGGAAACGCTATTGGTCAATATTAGTCAGAATCAACTAAATGGCAATAAATTTTGGGTGGATTTCCCTCCTTCTAATACGTTACTATACACTTAATGGTGCCCCATGTTTCTGAAGCTCTGTTCATTTTTCTTCATTCTTTCTTCTGTTCCTCAGATTCTATAATCGCTATCAATTTATCTTAAAATTTACTTACTCTTCTCCTAGTTCAGATCTATTGTTGACTCCTCATAGATTTATTTATTGTACTTTCTAGCTCTAGGATGACTGTTTTTTTTTTTTTTTAAATAACTTCTATCTCTATTGATACTTTATTTGATGCAGCATTGTCACACTACTTTTATTTATTTCAGCATTGTTTTCTTTAATTTTTTTTAACATATTTAGAATGGCTTATTTGAAGTCTTTTCTTTCGTCATTGTTCCTGCTGCTCTCAAGGCAGTTTCCATTGCCTTTTTTTTTCCCCCCTCTCCCTGTGTATGGGGCAGAATTTCCTGTTTCTTATATGTCTTGTAATTTTCTGTTGGATAGAAAAATATAATATGGCAGTTCTGGGTACTGGCATCCTCCCTGCCTGGGCCTGTTTGTTTGACATCATTTAGTGACGTTTCTTTCTTTCTCTCTGTCTCTGTCTCTGTGTGTGTGTGTGTGTGTGTGTGTGTGTGTGTGTGTGTGTCTGAGTTTCATACCCAGTGTACTTGAAGCCTCTGGTGTTAGACTGCTTGCTGTATTTTCAACAATGCCCTGAGTCAGAAATGGCTCAATGGACTGATCCAATTAAAGTTGGACTCCTTTATAGGGATAGTTTTTCAGGTCAATAGCTGAGATTTCTTTTTAATGCATTTTATTGAAATATAATTTATGTACAGTGACATACACAAAACTAAAGTGACATGGATCAATGCATTTCTTTTTTTTCAGTGTTCCCTTCCCTTCCCTCCCACCCCTGGTGGCAACCAACAAAGAAAGTTTCCCTTCATATATAAACCTTTCCTTGACCCTCCACAACAATGAATTAATACTGTATTTGTCTTTCTGTGATTGACTTATTTCACTCAGCATAATGTCCTTCAAGTTCATCCATATTATGCAGTGTTTTGCAGACTACATTATTCTTCAGTGCTGCATAGCATTCCATTATGTGTATGTACCATAGTTTGGTCATCCACTCTTCTGCTGTTGGGCATGTAGGTTGTTTCCATCTTTTTGCTATTGTAAATA